GCATCTTTTTTTTTCCTCCCAAGAAGAAGAGCCTGCAACAGATCAACAGTGAGAAGTCAATGGAGTCTGAAACAACACAATCACCTGCATCTTAAGAGTGATATTGAATATATTTTAGGTTTATTTCCCAGTGTATCCAGAACATACTTTCCCAGTCACATTTAAAAGCACCTACTCATTGCACCTCCTAATCAGAATGGTATGTACACAGGGCTCTACACATCCTGAGTTACAAAATATATCATTTACCAAACTCAGACTCACTGCTAAGGTTTACATAGAAAAATTAAAAGGCACTTATAGAAATAAACAGATTCTGCAAATGTGATCACTACACAAACTCAGAGCTTGTTCCAAATACTGTTGGGAACCTGAAAGGTAAAAGATGATCTACCCCAGTAGGACACTGAACTCCAGGCTGGTAAATGCCCACCTTCCCCACTGCTCGCTGGGGCTGAACCATCTGGCTAATGAGCCCCTCCAGCAATGCCAGATTCTGCACAGAAGCCCAACGTTGGACAGGGTTACAGAGCTGGCACCACAGAGTTGAGTCTCCTTTCTCCATCATGCCAGGTCCACAGAACATAAAGCCACCCCACGCTGCATGAAGCCCCAGCTATTTATAGGACTGAAGGATCACACGGCCCCACACAACACATGCTTCACCTTGGAACGGCAAAATCAGACGGTTTTTGAAGCGGGAAGGAGCCACTGTAAGTCAAAGCCACCGTGACCCACCTACACAGGACAGACCACATCATTTCTACCTGTTTCTTCTGAGGTTACACAAAAGGTATCTGATCAAATTAGCCCATCTCACTGAGGTATCTCACATAAAGTCTTCAGGTGGTGTTAGTAGCTTCATTTTTTTCCCCCCTAGTTTGTTCAGGCTTGTTTTGTCTTCCAGGCAGCAAATCTCATTAAACTTTGCTGCCTACAAAGTAAAAAGCCCTCTGGTATAAGAAATCTTCTCGTACATATTTATAGACACCACTCAAGTAAACTCAGACAAGAAACAAGATTATGTTTATCTGGAGAGACATATTTTCCGGGAAACCATGCTGACCGGCATTTTTCATTACCACCGAATTATCCCTTTTGCCACAGCATCACACAACGGTCTCATTTAGCTTGTTACTCACCAGATCTTCCATGACTTTTTCTTTTCTTCAAACTACAGCTTTTAAGGACACAATCCCCCACGCAGTAACCAGGACCTGTTTGGTTTGTTGGGTTTTTTTCCTCAGATGTACAAACCACAGATTTGGTCACCTTATAAAAGCACATCTGCCTGCACCAGTTTAATAAGCCACATAGATTCCTCTGGATAAACAAGACACCTCCTGTCTCAGCTTCATGGATAGTTTATTGAAGAAACTTTAAAGTTGGTGCTAATAAATACTGTGATGAGAAGATTATGGAATAATATTGATCTATTAGTACATTC